GGTCCTCGTTGTCAGTCTCGGAACTCTAGGTGGCATAGTCACTGCATGAAAGCATGGTTAGCGAAAAAGACCACTATAGGTAAAAGAAAGGAATTCTAAAGTGCGAAGACACTTACGGACTAAGGGTTCCAGAGATGCTTCGAGATTGAAGAAACCATATTTCCTTAGGTTGGCGGTAGTCAGGAGTAGTTTGCGTCATGACTTTGCTCAGGTAGATTACAAATGCCACAATTCGGTTGAAATCAGTCTGAGTCGTCAACCTAGTTATCAGCCTGGTCATCTTATTTCCTACAAAAAGACGGAAAAGTTCATTAGAAAGCAAAGACTAAAGGAAAGGGAAAAAAAGGAAGGGAAAACCTACTCGGTCGTATTGAAAAAAGAAAATTTGGTTTCATAGGGCCCGACGTTACTGGGGTAACTAAATATTCATCCCTCAATCGTAGATCGCTTCGAGCGGTAAAAAAAAAATCTTTATCCTTGCTCTTCTTCAGGTAATAAGAGCTTGTGAGCTCCAGCGTTGTTAGCTAGCCGAGGCCATTCTCGCCACATGCGATATACATAGCAACATCTATCATATACGCATTGGGTGTCAGTTGTAGTGGCACGACCTTGAAGTGATCGAGGATCGATCTAATGAAGGGGTGAAAAAGTATCAACACCCCGTATTTGAAGATCGCCTTTGAGATCGTGGCCATTTCCTTTTGGGGGATTCTAAGTGGTATATGTTATGTGCTGGTAGATGTCCATGCTAAGTGCGTATTGGTCCACTACCTTCTGTATCTTATCTCGGGTGGCCACTAACAAAATCTCTTGTACGGGTCCCGCTAGGGCATCCCGCACCTGTGAGCTCGTTCCCTCGGTTGTTCTAATCCCTGAGGCATCCATTGCTCTTAAGGTTGCAGAGATAACTCAGTCTTCGTACAGTATTCCATACGATGACATGGAAGAACTAAAGAAACCCTAATTTACCTTCCTTGAACCCTAGGAAAACCCTAAAAACCCTTAGGAATCAACCCCCAAGGATTCGTGACCTAAATTTTTACTCTTTATGAAAGAAAAAGCCTTCTCCTCACAAATGCCTGCAAATACGCACCACAAAAGTTTATCAAACGATTCATACCCACCATTATCATCAAGTCAAGCTACTAGCAAAATAGTAAAAGAAAAGCAAAGGAGAAATCCTCTTTACCTCTTGGCAGCGGCGAACGGACTTTCTATCGTAATGAAGAGTGCGCATCAACTGGAAAAAGGGGAGACTGATTTCATCAAAGCTTTGTTCTTTCTTTGAAAGTATGAGTTTTGTGACGAAGCTTGAGGCGAGCCTAAGGTTTTATAGGGGGAGGAAGCGACGATCAATTTCCCTTAGCAAGCGATGCTTGGGCGAGATACGTTTCTTGCCATTGATTGTGACCACGTGTCATCAATCCACGAGAAGAAGTAACAGCCACGCTTTGAGAGTGCCAATCAACACTTCCCTCCATTGGAGCAACCAAGCGATGGCTCGATTATCTCTTCCATATTAAATGTGCCCTCATCTGCATTTAATGCTCTAAAAGAAAATATCGTTTCAGCATGGCTAGCACTTATTGCATACTAGACACGTCTGTTAGAATAAAGATGATTTTATTAAACAGATTAGCTGTCAAGCGTAACGAATAACATCTAAAGAGGTCGTTTGGGCAGAACACTCTTCGTCGCGTATCGGTTTTGAGACTGTGTGATTCCTTGTTCTCGGTGAAAAAATGTTAAGTATTCTTAGGTCGCGAACCATGGATGAGATTCGAAACATATTTGTATGGCACTAAGTGGGGTCTGATCCAGGTCGTTGAACTTGTGGAAGGAGGCCACCTTAGGTCATTTGTACTACCCTTAGAGACATATGCTGCGACCTCTTTGCAGCTCAATCAGCTCGACCAAACATCATTCTGGGCAATTCAAGTAGCGGCATAATCATGAAGTTCTCAAGGTTCAATCTTTAAACCTTAAAAACTGGGGGACTTCTGTTATGCCTAAAAAGTTAGGGCTGACGTGGACTCTCGTCAGCAAGAGCCAATCAAGATTCAGGAAGATTTTGTGCCGTTCAAATGCTGCCACATTGCGCAGTGACGGGAGAGGTATGGTTCTTGTCATCGTAGCAGATGAATGCCTGGCTTGTCAGTGGCCAGGGGTTATTCACCTACCCAAACCCTATGCAATTTGATAATATTTTTCGTACAGATAACCAATGGGATGCAAGGAAGAACTTGCACGACACCTACCTACTTGCAGACTCGTAATCATTACCCCTCATTTACGGGATTGACTAATCTTAGTTTAAAATAGCCTACATGTAATAATTGCTTTATACTACTATATTCATAAAAAACACATATAATAAAAATACAATACATTAATAAAACAAGTTGGGCCCAAAAAATTTCTTTCATTGAACATACATATTCTTTACATAAAGTTAGTATCATTTACAAAAGTTCTCAAAAGTGTGGTAGACAGTGCAACTACTCTCCCTCGCCCGCTGATGTCCATCCGACTGTGATCTCACCTGGAACCTGCAAAAGCATAGAAAAATAACGGGGTGAGCACAACTAATGCTTAGTAAGTAAATCCTCTACTTGTCTATCCCCATAACACTTTCTCTTAATTCTTTCCTTACACTATTTTTTTCTCATTTCTGTTCTCTTTCTGTTTCTGTTTCTCATAATCTTTGCTATACACCCTTTGGTGTATGTCACGGCCTCATCTTACCGGAGGCACGGTCGGGAACTCAACCCACTTTTCATGACTTTACTCTTTTTCTCTTTCTGTTCTTTCTATTCCTTTGTTCCTCATTCTTACTCATTGGAATGTCACGACCTCATCTGACCGGAGGCATGGCTGGGCGCTACCACTTTACGTGACTTCTACTCATTTCTCCACCGATCGGATTTGGTCATATATGGATTCGGAACCCTTGGCCATGTGAGTATACATTCTTCCTCTCTATCTCTTGAATGTCACGACCCATTTCTTACCGAGGGTACGGCTGGAATCTCTAGTTCCACTCTACGTGACGGTCACGACCCTATCTTACCGGAGGCACGGCTGGGGATCACAAAGCACCCACTCTCGTGACTCTACTCATCACTCACGGGTTCCCCATCACACAACTTACTCTATTCTCTTCTTTAGCTCTTAGAGTAGCTTGTGCACAAGATCTCTACTCTTTCTCTAGCTACTCATCATAATGTAGCCTAACTCTTAGAGTAATTCTCTACTCTTTCTCAGCTCTTTCTCAATGCACAATTAATGCATATGGATGGTTCATGCTCATTAATGCACTTAGGAAATGCCAATATACAATGTTGCAATATATAAGGTTCATAATTCATTCTCATGCTTCTCTTAGGCATTTCATCAAACAACTCATGTGCATATAAAAACTCTTCTCTAACTACAACTCTATTTCTCTTTTTAACCATCCAAAAATGGGAATAAACTCCCTTTCATAGGCATAATCCTTATCATAGAAGAACACTCCCAAATATATATTCAATCTCATTTAACTTCATTTCAACTCATCACACATCAACACTTCTTATAAAGGAAAAGTATCCAACAACTCAACATGAATACTCATTTCCATTTAATTTCTCAATAAGTAGGCATATATCTCTACTCAAATTCTCAATAACATACATATAACATGCATACATACTTTCTACTAAATCTTTACTCAAGAGAATTCTCAAATCTCAACTTGGGTTAGGGTTTACTTACCTTGTGATTATGTGATTCCACTACACTTCTCTTTTTCCTTTGGTAGAAGGCTTTTCTCTACACTTTAAAACAATTACACATTAAGACCTCATCACCCTTTATAGGTAAAATTCACATCTAGAGTAAGAAATCTTACCTTAGGACGACTTAGATCAATTCTCTACCAAGATCTAACTAAAAACCCTTCAAAATCCTTGAAAGCTTGAAGGAGAATTTGAGAGGAAATGGAGAATGAAAGAGGCGGTGGAAGAAGATGAATGAATGAGTTTCTAAAGTTAAACCCTTATTATCACATATTTTCTCCATTCTTTCCCATTTTACCCTTACTCTTTCTTAAGAATTCCACTTTTGCCCTTTTTAATTCTTTACAAATGCACCCCCATTTAAACTATTCTCTATGCAATTTCCTTGAATTTCACTCCCCACTTTTCTTGCTAATTAGGGGTAGATTGGTCATTGTGCCCCAAAGGAAGAATTCTCTAGAAACTTTATAAAACTTTTCAACTGGCCCGTCGCCGCAGCGAAGAACTTTCCGTCGCCCCAGCGAAACTTGGCAGAACCTACACCGTGGGTGCAACATCTCATTGCCGCGGCGAAGCTTCTTCTTCGCCCCGGCGAAGATTGGATTTCAAAAATTCCATCAAGTCTCTACAATTTCAGGGCAACCACTCAACCAAACCAATACATCCATTCAATCAAGGGCCTACCAAACCATATTAACAATATTTCCAATTCAAATAAGAGTAAAATAAGAAACATTAGCTACGTACCTTGAGTGGGGCATTACACTACACACATTCTCTCTAGATGGTAACTCAGCTCACCACACGCGACCTGATTGTACCCATCTATTAATACAATAGCGATGGACGTAGGATTCGGTTTTGAGCATCCAAACCACTTTAAAAATGGTTTCCCATTTATTCTCTCGTTTCATATTTTCTTATCACGTGTAATTTCTAAGTCTGCTTAGCACATTGAACGTGCGAGTCGTTGGTGTCAAAGTCAAGCATCAACATTTTTGAAATTTTATTCTATATATGTGAATTTCTTTGAAATTTTCTAAAATTGTGAATGTAAATTAGGGATGGTGTGAGCTTTAATCTTGAATTCTTTTAGTTTATATGATGATTTTAATTTCATAGCCCTGCTATTAATAAAAGGAATAGGCTAAAAATAATTGAAAGAAAAGATCAAAAACTGTTTGACACATTTTAGCTCATTAATCAAGAAGAGAGGTAGTTTAAATCTTAGGAACTGTAATTCATGATCAACACCGCTTATATTTAACTTCTTAAATCAAACATTCAAACTCAATAAAAGTATCCATCAAACGGATTTAACTTTAAAATGAAAATAAAATACAAATAGGTTGATAAAATGTTGGTGGCCTAGCAGATCATCCCAAAAACTCCATTCTCTTTTCACCTTGCTCAAACTGCTTGATGAAGATATTAATATCTTAGCCTTGTGATTAAAAACACAACAACATAGAAAAAAAAATTAGAAAAATAGTTGAAAAATTACAAGGAAGTTTATCTCCTAAACAAAAGAGAGGGTTTAAATCTTACCTCCCTGCCTGATGAGAACAGTTCTAGGTTGGAGAAGGATGTTCTTGACCTCTTGTAATTCATGAACAACATTGGTTATGTTCATTCGATCTTGTGGTATCTCCATTGAACATGCCACTCCGACCCTTACCATTGAAATGAGGCATTCCTTTCTTTTAATGTCTCTTTCTTGTAACAGTATACGATTAGTAGCAGCAACCTCTTCAACCTCATTTAGAAGTACTGGATCGACTATGTCCATCACCTGGTCAGGCAAGGCCATTCTAGCAAAATTGTGAAGATTGAGGCCTCCCTCAAACATAAGGTCTGTGGGCCTTTTCCTTGTTACCATCTCTAACAACAAGATCCCATAACTGTAGACATCCCCATATGTCGACAACTAACTTCCAAGACCATACTCTGCAATTCACAATAATATTATATTAGGAAGAATATGATCTTTGACAAGTAATTAACTGTTCAAATTATCGAATCTTGTCGTTACCTGGGGCTGCATAGCCTATTGTTCCTCTTACGCCAACAGAGCTGCTTTGATTTGGATTTGAGACTTCTGGGAGAAACCTTGCCATACCGAAATCTCCAACATGAGCTATCATGTCATCATCTAGAAGAACATTGCTGGGCTTTAAATCGCAATGGAGGATTGGCTCATGGCAACGATAATGGAGATAATCTATTGCAGATGCCACATCAATTGCAATGTTTATTCTCTGAAGAAGGGTAAGATTCTGAATTTCAGGTTGCTCTTCTTCTATTTCTAGAGATGGGTGCAGCCACTTGTCAAGACTCCCATTTGGCATGTACTCATAAACAATAGCTTTAAAGTCATTGCCCTGAAAATCAATACTTGAGCAAGAAGTTATGACTTTTACAAGATTCCTGTGACGGATATTTCTCAACGCTTTACACTCTGCCATGAAACTCTTGGAAGCTCCTCGACGTTGAAGATTTAGTACTTTGATTGCAGCAATAGTTCCATCTTCATCAAGGATACCCTTAAACACAGAGCCGAAACTTCCCGCACCAATTAAGTTTATTGAAGAAAACCCATCGGTCACTTTGAGTAGCCTTTCATATGATACATTCAAAAGTTCTTTTATCAACCTGGATCCAGATTCAGAAGGTTGTTTCTTGCTTCTCTTTCTTCTCTTTCTGAGCCAACAAAAAATGAATAATGACATCATGGTTAGTCCTGAAAGGACACTTGCAATTGATATCAATATTTTGGTTCGCGGAGAGATCCTCTCTTTCTTTGCGTTCTTGCTAGCGCATTTGAGCAAATGTAGTTCAACTATTCCTCCACAAAGTCTACCACTATTTCCGACAAGTGATATTGCTCTTGCATTTGCAAAAACACCTTTTGATGGCACTTCACCCTCAAAGTTATTGAAGGATAGGTTTAGATTCTCCAGAGGGAGAGTCTCTAAGAATTTTGGAATTTGGCCAGACAAATTGTTGCGAGAAAGATCAATGATTCGAATACCTCTCAGAGAACTCAATGATGCAGGTATAAATCCTTGGAAAGCATTGCCATCAATTACAAGATATTCTAGACTAGAACAAAGACTAAATTGACTCGGAATTTCACCTGACAAATTATTATCAGACACATCAAAAAAGGTCAAAAGTTTTAGGTTACCTATGTTTGAAGGTATGGATCCAATCAATTGGTTTTGGGATAGTTTTAGTAAAATTGACAGATACGTTATTTCAAAAACTTGTTTGGGTATGGTTCCACTAAGTTCATTTTGGGACAGATCCAAAATTTTCAACTGTTTCAAATTTCCTAGACTACTAGGGATGACTTCTGATAATTTGTTATTTGTCAACCACAAGATAATGATTTTCGACAGGTTCCCCAAAGAAGGAGGAATTTCCCCGGAGAGTTTATTGGTTGACAGATCTAAATATTCAAGGTTCTGGAGCTTACCTAATTCTTCAGGAATTGTGCCCGAAAATTTGTCTTCATACATTCTCAACGAAGTCAAGTTAAGAAGGCAGCCTATCCCTGATGGGATTGGTCCATAGAAATCATTCCCTCCAACATCTAAATGTTGCAGTTTAATTCTAGAAAGGTTAGCTATTGAATGGGGCAAGGGTCCTCTGAATTGGTTATCAGCTATGGAGAGTGCCCTCAAATTGCTGCAGTTGGCTAACGAATTCATAAAATTCATCTGATCACCGTCGCCACTTTGCATATTATTGCTGGCCAAATGCAGGAATTGAAGGTGTTGCATTCCTCCAAAATCAACACACAATTTTCCAGAAAATTTATTATGTCCCATCTGAATATATTTGAGTTCTGAAGCATTTGATAAAGATACTGGAATAGATCCACCAAATGAGTTATTTGAGATTTGAAAAAGCTGGAGACGAGGAAGAGTAAGGCCTAAATTTGCTGGAAGACTTCCCTCAAGTTGATTGCTAGACAAAGAAAAATTAACAAGGAAGGAGAGGTTGTATATAGAGGGAGGGACAACACCAGATAGGTTGTTTCTACCAATTCCAAGAGATGTTAAATTTTTCAGCTGACCCAATGAATCTGGAATATTTCCTCCAAAAGGATTTGAACCAATAGATATAATTTCCAGGGACGTAAGATTCCCAAGAAATGATGGGATGCCTCCTGTCAAACTGTTAAACTGCAGAGCTATGATTTTGAGGTTGAACAAGGAGACAAACTCTGGTGGAATTTTCCCAACTAGGTTGTTTTTTGCTAAAAATAAGAATGTGAGCCTGGAACAACGGGATAAGTTGGCTGGAATTTCTCCCACCATGAAGTTATTTTGAATTTGTAAATCTTCTAATCTGAACAGACGACCAACTTCTGGAGGGATTTCACCTTGGATACTATTGTTTACGAGATCGAACTTCCGTAGGAAGCTGAGGTTGCCAATGTGTGGTGATAGGGATCCAAACAAGCCTTTAGAAGGTAGGCTTAGGACAGTGACTCTTTGATGCCTGCGACCACAGGTAATCCCCTCCCACTCGCAGAAGTGGCAAGAATCATTCCACGAGTTTAGAACCCCTTGAGGATCATGAATAATCTTTGACTTAAAGGCCTGCAAAGAAACGCGATCTGTCTCCTGTTGAGCCAATCTGGAACTAACAAAAGTGGTAACTTGCATAAGCAAGATGCACAAAAGTAAAACAGAGCGAAAGCATATCATTGTGTTCATTTCTATGAGTGAGATGTGAGCCTGCTTCACCAAGCCTTATACCTTTATATAAATATGGTGCGCTTGTGACACTCTTAGGCCTATTCAGTGGGACTAATTATTGCAAATATGAACTGAAGACAAGGAATTGACTGACGGTACATAACTAAAGATTTCCTTGTTGTGTATATGACTAATGGTATAAAAAGGAGAATTGTGGCTCACTTGTGGCCCAAAAGCTTCACCATCAAATTCACCACGCATGGCCCTCTCTCCTGAATTATTATCGAAAACGACAATACTGACAGTTGTTATGCAAACAATAACATATATATTCCCACACGTAAATCATATACATTTATCGTACCTTCCTTCTCCTCTCCTACAAGTATAAACTTGAGGCAGAAGCGTATTAAGTAATTGTTTTGCGGAAGAAAATGTTACTGTCTTAGTTAGCATGAGTTGAATTGATAAAGAAATTTTATATTCGTATTGCACATGTTAAATTTTATGTTCTTGTTCTTTTCATCTTATAATACACAATTCACAAGTGAAAGCTCATTATATGATTTCATCTAATATATATATATAATCTTCTTGGCATGAGATTCAAATTTCATTTATTTATGAATTTCGTGCGCTAGGAAATATGTATTAACAGCTTTTGGATTTGATGGATTGGACCGTCAAATTTTTTTATTCCAATACGACTTACAAAATTTTTAGTGAAGAACAACCTTTCAAGTAGAAATCCAGGTTGTCATACGTCAAACAAGATAAGAATCACTAAAATTTAATAGAAGGGATATAACTTTAAAATCATATAAGTTGATAGAATGTAAGTTGTTAGGCAAATCTCCCGAGAAAAGCTTTTTCACACTGCTTTTCTGCTTTTCTGTGAACCTCTAATTTTTTTTATAATGCTTTTTATGAGAGACATGTAAAGTTTTCTTCTTGTTTTTTATCTGAGAATAGCTTATAAAAGTTATGGCTTAAAGGGCAATCTTGCTCCATTGAATCTTCTTGTAGTTTGTTTGTGTATCATTTTTATTTATTTCATCAACTTGAGGGCTAATAGTTCTCTGCTTCATTTTATGCTTCTTTTCAATTTTTTTTTTTTTTTTTAGTCTAATTGGATGTTACAATGCTTCAATCTGCTTAGGATTCGAAAAATCAAATATTCTCCTCTTGCTGAGAAAATATTTATCCTTCAATTCAATTTTAAAAATTCCAAGGGCCTCCTGCAGTTGGTCTGCTACACACAAGAAATTAATCAATGCATAATCTTTTCTTTTCTCAATTTGAAGTGGAGTCAAGTCTCTTACCGTCTTAGTTAAGTGGAGTCAAGTCTCTTGCAGTCTTGGTTAAGTGGAGTCAAGTCTCTTACAGTCTTAGAAAGGAACAACCATTCAAGTATGTACACCCAAAAAAAAAAAAAAAAAAAAGGGCGACAAAAGCTTCAAACAAGTTAAGCTTTGTTCAGAAAATGTTTGTACCCCAATTCATTTTTCAAAATACTCAAGTCCTTTGCGCTGCACAGAAGAAATTGGTCAATTCCCTAGTTTTTTGTCAAATTTAAGTGGAGTCTAGCCTTGTTATGCCTAAAAATATAAGGGCTGACGTCAAGACCCTTTAGTCCGCAAAAGTCAGATCATTGGAATAGCCACCGTCTGTGTCTGTCAGGATAATGGGCGCGCGTCAGACTAGTCAGGAGGCTGTGGTGCACCCACGTGTCCAATCCCTGCTCTAAATCGTGCAAATCACTCTGGAAGGTGGGCAATGTGACATAAATAAGGATTTGCATGGATAATCCCACCAACTTGCAGATTTAGTGATCATTGCTTCAAGGTATTTGACTATAAATTAGGAATTCATCTCTCATTAAGGGGATTCGCACATTTTTCACTTGATTCATTACTCTCTCTTTTCTTAGCAATTGATACCTTGTAATATCATTATAAAGTCAGTCCGCTATTAGCGACCTGACCCCGATCATCAATATAAATATCAGTGGACGTAGGACTTGCTACCTTAGAATCCGAACCACTTTAAAAACTGTCTCCATTGCATTTACTATCTCTTATCCATTACTTTCACGTGTGATTTCGAGGCCCCTACAATATTTCGCACGTGCGTTTCATTTGTGCAAAACCTCGCATCAGCAAGCCTCATTCCTCTTGATTTTCTGGTAAAGAACTGATGAGCATGAGTATATAATATTAAATTTCTACAAATAGTCATAGAATGGTGCAGAAGTCAATATCATGAATAATCTTTGACTTGAAGGCCTACATCGTAGCAAGACATGTCTCGTTTGTGAAACTCGGGGTTCAATTTAGTGGTATCAACGCTAGCCTGGACTCCAAAACGACTTTGATTCATTGTACATAGACTTTTATCGTTCAGTTTGGTGTCTGAATATTTGAATGATATTATTCTGATTCTCCATATCAAGAAATTTCATGGAATGGTGATCATAATTGCACATAATAATTTTTTTTTTTTTTTTTTTTTTTTTTAAACTTGAAGTCCACTAGGAATGAACAAAATTCCGCAACGAATCATAGAAAGTTGCAAAGGTCAATATCAAACAGTTTTTAAAAAAATGTAATTACTTATATGACCCGACATCTATCAAGTGGCAAAAGAGAAAAACAGATTTATTAAAGATACCTTAGTGGTGTCTAATGTTGAAGAAAATATGACCCGGCATCTATCAAGTGGGCTTTAGCCATCTAAAATATAGTCGATTTATTTTCTAGTCTTTAAAATCATTGGAAAATTTTAGACCAATAATTCATTTTAAATGTTACCAAGATCAAGAGCTAACAAAGTCTAACACTAAACTCATGGATCAATGAATTATAGCCATATCACTGTTAAATTTGGTTATTTGTATTCAAATTTATTGGAGTTTTTATCACTTGTGTGAAGAGTGACTTATTAATATGACCAGTTTTATTAATATTCTCGCCAGTAATTTAAGGAAAGCTAATAAGCTATAAGTATGTTAATTACAAATTTACATCTTAAATTGAATCAAATGATAGAGAGCATTAAATTCTTTGATTTTAACTATTAACTACTATTTATTGGATAATGAAATACAGAAAGGTTAGAAGAAATAGCTGAGAAATTTTACGTTTTTCGAATCTCTAGTAGAGTCAATTCTACCCAAGTCACGCAAATAGTATCCTATTAATAACGCAAACATCGATCAATCAATTCTTCTCCATAAATCACACAAACGTGTCATTTGATTATCATGAACAGAACTGAAGAACATAATTATTTCTCCTTTGTCTTTAATTTTATTTGTGATTTTCCACAAGCGTTAGAAAGTTGTATCAATTTTTTGCAAGAAATTTCCAATGAAACCTACAAATTTAGTTCATATTCATTGCATACATATAAAAGCACATGTGAATGCAAACTACTCGAAAGACCCACAACTTTGAAAATTCCAATTTCCATAAAGTCTCTTACCGTCTTCGTTAAGGTAAAAAAAAGGTAAACACTATCCAGTACTAAGTGGAGTCAAGTCTCTTAACAGTCTTAGAAAGTTGAAACAACTTTTTCCAAGAAACTTCCCAGTGAACATAAATTAAAAATTAAGAACACGTGGCATGCACAGCATTAGTAAAGAACAACCTTTCAAGTGGAAATAGGGTCCTCATCTTATGTGGCTGCATCAAAAATTGAATAATCATTCCAAGTTTTATTAAAATCATCAAATTTTAAACCATCCTCCCAAGAGTTTTTAGACAATATTAATTAATTTAATGATATGTAGATTTATCGACTTTTACAAATCATTCTAATACCAATTATATGATACCAGTCAACAATTCATAATAATTCTATATTTAGTTCCTCATAAGACTTTCAAAAACTTTTATATAACTGAATTTACCCTTTCTTTTAAATTTAAAGCAATCTTGTAGGTGGATTTCACTCTCAAACTTCATTTTCTCACCTCTCCATCATCTCGCATTTGACAATAAAAAAAGTGTGACAATAAGAAACAGCTGAGAAACTTTACACCCGTAACGTTTACGATGGAAATAGCTGAGAAATTTTATGATTTTTGAATCTCTAGTGGAGTCAATTCTACTTTATTAGTCACGCAAACATCGATCAATCAATTCTTCCTTCTAAGTCACGCAAACATATCATTTGATTATCATGAACAAGACTAAAAAGCATAATTATTTCTCCTTTGTCTTTAATTCTGTTTGTGATTTTTCCACAAAGGAGTAAAAAGTTGCATCAATGTTTTCCAAGAAATTTCAAATGAAACCTACAAATTTAGTTCATTTTCATTGCATTCATATAAAAGTACACCTGGAATGAAAACTACTTGGCAGACCCACAACTTTGAAAATTCCAATTTCCTTAAAGTGTCTTATTCTGAAATGGGCAAGTTTTCCTCTCCCCATGGGCCAGCATTAATTCAATCAATTTCTTTCAACACAAATATATTTGTTTGTTTTTAATATTAGCAAATTGTCCTTTTTTTTTTTTTTTTTTTTTTTATAATCGAAATATCCAGCCCCAAGATGGTTTAAACCCAAAAATTCAATTAAGAGAATAACCTTCTTAACCACCAGACTAATCCTTTAAGATTACAAATTATCCTTCTTTACTATTTATTTCTACTAAATCTTTAGTAACCTCAATGTCACCTTCTTTTTTTTACTTTATTTTTTTTTTTTTACTTTATTTTTTTTTTTTACTTTATTATTTTTTTTTTTGTCTTGGATAAATTCAAGTATCCATTTTTTTTTTTTTTTTTGATAAATTTAAGTGTGTATTTGTTGACACCTTATGGCTTCTGAGACCATACTGCAATTCACAAGAATAACATTAAAAAATTCTAA